ATGCTAATCTTCGCTGTATCATTCCAATTTTAGTGGGCGTCCTGAAGTAGTTAAAAAGAATGATAGTGCTAAGTCGCACTTCAACACACTGCGAGGTCAAGACACACACGACATGACAGACATATAGACGAAGGGCATCGCCACACCACTCTTGAAATGTGTAAAATGAGAATGAACTTCCCGCTAGAACATAGCCAGATGCGTCCGCCAAATTTTTGTTTTTTTCACATTTCGAGAGTGTTGTGGCGAGGCCCGAAATGAACAGAACTCCGAGCGCAGGTGGCGCTTTGAAAAATTCGTCGAAATAGCGCACTCTTCTGGCGATAGGACCCAACCGGTTTCTACCAGTCGCCAGTCTGGCGTCCTCAGGGGTCAACCTGGCTGGAATGAGAAACAAAGCTAAGAAACCCGAATTTATACGAAAACGCTACTCTACTAACAATAGTACCTGCGAACCGATACAACAAAACCGGACCCGCCCTTCGGCGGTCCCAATCGGTAGAATGTCCCGTGACCGGACCACCAGACCCTACTCAGCCCAAAAACAGTCTCTCAGTGTCCACCTACCTGTCGGCAATAGCCGTGCCTGTGGCTGAATTGTCCGTAACGTACTCAAATGCAGTCTAGATACAGGCGTTCCCACCCAGTAAGGCAATGCACCCAACGTTCCCAGCTGTTATTAAATCTTCTGGACCTCCTGAAGGACCCCTCTTTTCATCTTTTCATTTTTAAAATCATTTCATTTCATTTCTATCCACCGCTTACACTGCTATCTATCTTTCTTCCCCCTGGAACGTACGGTCATTATCCCGGTATCTAGACTGCAAGTTGTGCCAGATACAGCTATAATGACCGTATGTCCAATTGGGGGGAAGGGGGTAGTGCATATGCTGCCCTGTCTGAAATTTCTTCCCCCTGGAATGTACCGTCATTATCCCTGTACCTAGACTGCAAGTTGCCCCAGATACAGCTATAATGACCGTATGACAGCGTATGTCCGATTCGGGGGAAGGGAGTTGTGCACTGGCTTTCAGAATTTCAGACTGCATGTCGCATGCAGCAGCTCACCTCACTGCACTCAACAGGGTTCGAACTTCGAACTCTTTTTTTTTTTTTTTTAAACGCCTGTTTCGATCCC